AGCGGATATTCAGTAGCTGGAAGTGATGCTTCACGGACTGAGAAATTGCTTTTCGATCAACTTGAATGTAGTCAAAGCCGCGACTTGCGGCAGGTTTAAGTGTACGGAACTACGCCGTGGAGAGCCCGAAAACTTCTAGCGCTCATCCCAGCGCACCACGGAGGGCAGTTTCTCCAGCAACCGTATAATTAAACAGCAAAATAAAGGGTAGCTTTTTTTTTCGATTTTACCTACTATTGTTTTTAATGCCGAAATTCCATACTGTAAATATACGTACTTTACGTCACGATTTCGTACTGTTCAGTCCTTGCCCTTGAGCACAATCGCTGTCGGGGACGAGACAATTCCGACAGTCACATTGACCATTGTACGATAGGAGCTTCTACTGTTCAGACCATGACTATCCGCACGTTGATCGATTGCACGTAATCGCTCAAGTGGTATTAAACTTTTTAATGTAAAGCGGAATGTCAACCTGCGACACCCCGCCCCCTCCGATCACAACCCGACCAGCGGCATCAATGCCCAACAGTTTACGATCTTATCTTCTTGTTACACCACTGATACGCGAACACATGGTCACATCGGCGATAATTCCAGTCTTCTGTTCACAACCCGACACTGTCATCACGATGTTGCAGCTATGTTGCTGACACGCACAAACACAAAACCACGTTGAACGCCGGTTGCACTCGGCATCGGAAAACAGAACCAAACTCAGGGGGGAAGGCACCCAGGCAGCCGGCAGCAAAACCTGCCTGTCTTGGACGCAGTTCCTGCGGTTTCCATAACGTCGAAAACGTCGACACAGTTCCGCGTGCTTTCGCTACTGTAGTCTGTAGTGCTGCAGCCTGCAGTGGCTGTAGTTCCGTGCCGCGCGAGTCACGCAATCCGGAGACGGCCATCCCCCAGTGTACGTGGCGCTGCTGGCACTGCTCCGGGACTTCGCTGTTTCTAGCGGCTTCGTTTGCTCGTTTGATAAAATTAGTGATAAAAATGTCAATGCAACCGAAATGTTCTGGACGTTTAAACTAGAAGACGGAATTACAGGCGGCCTTCGCTGCTGCTGAAGCTCAATCGACTCAAAAGCTATTTATTAAACAACGTGCGCGACCTGCTCGAAAAACGAAACCGAAAGACGATGAGTCGGGAGGGCGAAAGCTTTCTCCCGTCTGCCTGGAGAAGGAGAAAAACATTTCGTTCCTCCCCTTTTCTCGTGTCCGCTTGGAGGCGCGTCGGTAGAAGGGAGGAAGGCGCGCCGTTGCTACTTTTTTCCTCCCTTTTTTCTTAGAGTGTACTTCAGTCATTCTTTTGTTTGGATGGGTTTGTCTAAGCATCGACCTACTCCAGCAAACCTCCTACCCGGCCTACCCCTAGCCTGCAATTTTTCAGGGGGAGGGGAAGGTACTATTTATTGTCCCCCTCCCCCTTCGTTCGTGTGAACGCCACTGCTGGACACAGTATGTATTCCCTAAGCATTCAACAAAAATCTTCAGCTTCTCTGTGGAGTTCACATAGTACCACCGCAGCCAGCTTGCAACTTTCAACTTTATTGTTTCCCTCCAGTGGATAGGGGGAGGAAGAAAAAAAACAACAGTGTTCTCGCTTTACTAAGTTTCTTCTCCCCACCCGAACCAGACAAAATAATGTACAGAGTACCGGAAATTGAAAAAAAAAACACTCACATAGAGACTGGAAGCGCACTGGCTAACATGACAAGAGAACCGTGATACAGAGCACTAGCCAGGGTAGCAGCCTGGCGAACATTACATAAAAAAAGAAAAACTGACACAGGGCGCACAAAATATAACTCGCACCGAGGACACCTCAAGCAAAATTAACCAAGGCTAGTATCAAAGAAACAGAAACCGAATATTTCTTCTGAACGTACTCATAACATCTATGTCACATCTTTTCATGCTGGCCAAATAATTTGGAAAACAAAAAATCATAATTTGGAGGCCATAATTTGTCCTTGTGCGTGACTCTGACCAAGTGTCAAAACAACGGCTTGGGCAAGGTCCATTGTTGTTGTGTATCAGCAATGGATAAAAAAAAAAACAAGTTGATTTTGTTTGACATACATTTGGTATGTAAGAAGAGGTTTATAAGTGTAGTGTGCAGTAATCGGTACTGTTCTAAGCGTTTTTAACCTTCAACACTACACATAGTATGAATAACCCGCTTCTGAACACTATGTAGGGAGCGTATATTTGTTGCTGTATAGCTTCCCAAAACAAGAATCTATCTTTGTTGACGCACGCCGCGGACGTAACGCTATTGGACTCGTTCAGACATTTGCGTTTTACTGCTTTCGAATGTTGAACAGTATGGTTGCGGTCGCTTGCAGAAGCACGTCGCCTAGCAACGGCGAGATACTCCAATTGTTTTGCAATACATCGCAAAAGGTTGAAACAAGCTCGACCTTCGAGTGCGGTTAGTCATCTGTAGAGCCCTGCATATCTGCGGATTACCCGCGGATCATCCACGGATATCCCCTGTAAACTGGCAAATGCGGATAAAGAGGAATCATATTTGGCGGATCGCGGATGGGATGTGGATGCCAGGGGCTGCGGTCGAGGATCAAATGCGAATATCCACGGGTCCGGATCTACATTTTCGCCGAGGCGGCCCATAAGCGTGTGAGTGAATGAGTGATTGATACTATATGACGTGCGTCATCGAATGTATTGCCGGAGCAAACTGTTCTGTTAGATAAAAGGTGCCAATCGGGGATAAAATTGTACTTTACATCAGGAAAGATTTGATTCTAACCAAATATCGTTTTGGAACATGCCATCTCGCCAAAAATGCTATCCCTGGGAAAAGTAAATGTAGGAGCATAAGTCGGTCCCGGGCATAGCGGGCTCTTGTTTGGAAGGGAAGACCGGAAGATGATTTTAAGGCGAAGAAAACTAAAAAAAAAACTTACAAGCCACAAAAAAGCAGAAGAATCCTGCAAGTGTCTTCAAGGAGACTGAATTCGATCCTCTGGAGTGGTGGAAGTTGCGCCACCACGAGTTTTCGCACCTCATTCTTGTAGTGCAGTTTGTGCATGCTACCCTAGCATCAAGTGTACGAAATGAGATACACTTCTCCTTAGCGGGTATTAATTTAAGATAGGCGAACTATTTTGATTCGGTCCATATTGAGGATATTCTGTTTCTTCCACACAGCAACCTCGAGAAGTTAATCGCTGCGTGTGTGCGCGTTTTTCTTTTTCTCGACAGTTGGCACCGAGTTCTTTTTAAGCATATGGTTCCGAGCATGCAGTTGAGGGTTAGTGTTTAAAACTGAAACCGATAGGTGTTGCCATTATTGAACATTCTGACATTTTCCCAGCGGCTTACTCGCGCCTTACCGCGTATACACGAGTACTTTGCTGCGGTGAGGGAATGCGTTTACTCAACCATATTTTATTGTTTGTCCTAAACAAAATGACATGATGGTATTAGTCTGTCCTTTGTTCATTTTCATATTTATAAAATATGAGTCTGCTTAAAGTAGGTTTAACAAAGCAAAAAAAAAAAAAAAAAAAGGAAAGCAAATTTTAAAATTTTTTTTCTTTAGCGCATTTTCTGGACAAAGCGTCAGTGTCACGGACTCTCAAGACGATCTCATAACTTCGGTTATCTTTCCAGCGACGCGAAGTGTCTCGGGAAGGATGATCGCTTATTTCACAAACACGATAAAACAGAATACAATGAAAGGACTTCGCCGTATTCTAACACGAAGTGTTCTCTGTAGTAAGGTAAGGAGACGGCTTATTAAAACCATTCACATGTTTTTTGTTTTGTTTTTATTTGTATTTGATTTTATGATGTAAAATGAATGCGCAGATTCACGGTCCGATCCGGTTCTGAATTTTGCGGATGCGGTTCGGATCCGAATACAATGTCTTTGGATGCTGATGATAAAACTGTTTTCTGCGCATGGCTCTAGTTATGTGGAAAGAGGCGGCGTGCCCATAATAAAAAAAAAGAAAAGAAGGACGTTTAGAATTCTTTGTAATGACGAATTAGAGCGCAGCTCTTGAGGAGGAGGAGGGGAGGGTACGGGGGGGGTCACGTGGGACGTCACGGGGGTAAAATTGCCCACTAAATTTTGCGTGAAAGCCTTCCCGCTAAATGTAGCAAAACTTTCCCGCCAAATTTAGCGGGGAAATTTGGCCTCGAAATGTCACACGTGACGTCACGTGTGACGCCATTATAGAAAACGTCCCATAATGCAACGCGCAGTAACGCCGACGACGACGGCGACGTCGTCGCCGCTCAAGCCGGAAACGGGCGCCTAAGTGCAGCGTTCTAAAAAGAAAGCAAAGGATGGTTCTGCAGTTGACAGTGACCGTCGGCGTCGCGCATCCGGCTGCTCGTTTCGAGACGGGAACGACCAACTGCTTTTACTTGATAGAGAACAGTTGGGACTTGGGGGCAGGTTACGCAAAGCTGGAGTTTCACTAGGAGAGCAGGAGTCGCGGAAGTCAGCGGAATGCCCCCAGGATCATCTGTACCGATGCTGTTGCCGGGTGCCGCCATGTTTGTCGTGGATGTTGTTTTGCTATTGCTGAACCGAAAATCTCGCTAGCGAGTTCTAATGGTTGTTTACTTTAGTCGGCTACGTTTCAACAGAAGTGATTGAGGGTTGTAGAAACGTGCTCTGTATCGTGTTACCACGCCCACCTTTCTGCAACTGAACGCGCATTACTCAAAAGGCAAATGTGTGAAAGAACTTTTATTCAGTTATCCTTTTTCGCCGCAGTAACCCAAGTATTGTAATTGTGTTATGTTTAAATCGGTTTATGCCATAGAAACAATTTTCTATAGCCAGAAACATTTCAATATGTTTTGATATTCTTCCACTGAATGTTATGTTGTTTATGGCAATAAAACGTTTATTCCTTTTTAATACTGAATATTTTAACTAAAAAAATTACTACGTACAATACCAACGCGGTAAAACATGTTTACAAAGAAAAAAAAGAATATAGCCAAGACGCTCACCTTGAATATCAACTGGAACGTAGATCCAAAGAAAAGGGAAAATTGTTCATGGGGCACGTTCTGATCTTTCCAGTAGTTTCTGTACCGACTTGCATGCCTTTGAAAAAAAAAAGAATGGCCCCAAAATATAGTCATTATTTATGTTAAATACGAAGCTTACATTCTTCATCGTAGTTAACAAGATTAAGTAATATTACCTAAAAAATATCTGTTTGTTAATCAAACACAATTACACGCCCATAATTGAATGATTAAGAAAATGCAGAAATAACTTACCTATACTGAATAAGAAAATTATTAGGCATAGTTGGAGACGATAAGAGAAACCTGCATAACAATAGAAACTTTAATACACAAAAGTTTCGGCAAAAGTTTTTCCTCCAGGAAGTCCGTTCAACCGGCAGTTGCAGCTCGCGGTTGTGCACACTTGAAGATGGAAATACTTTTTCTAAAACGCCTGTGCATTAAAATCTCAATTGTTATTCAAATTTCTCTGAGCGTCTTCCAATATACCTAATATTTTTATTATTCAGCGTAGGTAAACGAATTTCTTTTAACCTTATCTCGATGGAAAATAGTTTTAAACACATCAAGTAGATTAGGGGAAAATAAGTGGCGTCACTTATATTCACTTGATGTGTCTGATATCGGATTAATATACTAAAATCAGACGTATGAACTTCCGAATTCTTTTCTGCCATATAAGAAATTATATCTATAGGATTTACCGTAAGATTGCAGTATACTCAAATTGTTGCCAAAGTCAAACCTAAAAAAAAAACATCTTGATGAAAAAGTAATTAACGATTTTACAGTGTTGCTGAAGTGCATTATTACAGGTTTGCAAAAACGCATTCAATGGGAGTTTATATAGATTCTGAGAGTGGTACAAAAAGAAAGAGCTGTCGTAGACGAACAGGTATATATAAAACAACCTGGTGCGCTCAAGGCGTCGCGCAAGCAGAGTAAGCGTGGGCAATAAGTGCGCCGTTCCACTCAACGCGCCTTGAGAAGGACTGTAGAGGTACTTGATCATACATAGTTGCGTTTTGGGTACAACTATTTCAGTGACCTTAGAAATATAGAATTCGGATATTTGATTGGGGATATAATTAAGCAGCATATAATTAAGCTAAGTAACTTGCTGCGAAAGAAAGGCAGCGTAAGTTTAGTGAACTATGTTGATGGAATAACTTCTTGAAAGTTTTATGTTACTTGGATGTCATGCCGGAGAGTTATCTACGCGAAAATACAAGTACTCTATCGTTGAAAAAAAAAATCAGTCAACTACACTATTCCGTTACTTTACTTTAGCCTTTAAGCTATGTGGTGGATCTTGTGCAAAAATGGTTTCATGGTTATTACCAATTTCTATTGAGGTTTGACATGTACAACATTGGCACTGTAGTAAAAAGCACTTACCCTGGAACATGGTCACTTTTAAGGTTTTGATGTCGTACAAATATTATGAACTAAATATATTTTTAGACTGTGCATGTTGCAAGAACTATAACGAACTTCACTTGTATTTTTCTCGGCAAATTATATTTTGTAATACTAACGCTGAAATTTCGTCACCACGTAGATAGGAACGGTGATGGTAATTTCTGTCAGTTATATGTAATAGCAAATAAAACTCCAACACTCCTCGTAACTAAAAACAGTATGCACTGACTTCAATTCGCGACGTAGTCTTTCATTGAGACAGAAATACATGTTTTTGATATAGGGTAAAATTGAGATAAATAAGAAAGGACACTCACAGAAACAGCAAAAATCCAATGGCTAGACTTAACGGCACCCATTCTGGAACTGAAAAATAGCTAAAGACTTGCATCTTTGCTCCGGATGGCTGCTGCACAACTGCGGGTGTTGTGCCCGTGTGGTGACCCTTCCGGAGCCCGCGTATACAGCGATTACGAATAACGAAATTTTATCTGACAGGATATTGCTCATTTGTTCTGACAAACTAGCATCCAAGATTATGGCGCCTAGATACAAGATAATATTGGTGAGAGAGTTGGGACGTCAAAAAAGTAGGATGAAAGGCGTGGGCTATTCCTGCAGTGTCACTGCGCCGTAGGTAGTAAAATAATCAACAGAAGCTTTCTAGACCTTTAGAATACCTGCTTAGGTTGCCTTGAGAGACGTCAGTGTTTTTCTATATTTGTACGAAAAAATTTTGAACCTCAATATTTAAAGGAAAAAAAAAGTGAGGAACGGAGTAATTTTTTATGGTTCACTGAGTGATCTGCAGCCAACAGTGCCTGGGGTTGAACCATCGAAAAACTCTTGCAAACTTAATCCCATTTCGACGAACTAATAACTTGTACATAAAGCTTTACAGGCTTTTCTAATATGTCACTTTGCGAAGGGCTACAATTCCTGTCAATTGTATTATTATTTTTAAGGCTACTAGAATACTGTGTAAATAAGAGTAAAGGGGACACCAAACGTGAGAACAACAGTTCTGATAAACAATTTAAGTGTGAAATTTATTTATTGTAGTTCAACAGTGGGTGTCACTCTAATTAACCCCAGCGTGGTAGGGTGCCCCACGCGGCCTTTGAACACACAAATTAAACTAGTGTCATGTTTGTCATGTTTACGCTTTTGCTATACTCTGCCTTCCAAAGTATTAAAAGCCTTCTGAATTAAGAGGAAAAAGCGGCCAGCCTAGGCAAACTCTTTCACACACCCTAGAATGTTCAAAAGCGCATATCCCACTACCGAATCTTTTGAGAACGCAAGGAACTGTTCGAAAAGCAGGTTTACAAATAAAATCTGAAGTGCATGAACTTCATTAACGTAAACTAATTTAAATTCGAAGAAATAATGTATACAATTACTTGGCTTTTCAATTTCAAAAGCCGGTGATTCTGGTAAACTCCTAACGCTAAAACAGCATTAAAAAGTAGGATCAAAACAAGTAACAATACTTGGTGTAATATTGATTGTCGTAAGTCCATGTACGATGAGGCCTCATTCATTCCCAGTTTTAATTTAACTTCCGCATTTACAAAAGGAGTCCTTGTTAAGGATGGTGAAAGACATAATTCTCCTTGGTGTTCCCAGTCTCTGGTGCATTTTAATTATGTTTTCCATCCCACAGATCTTTTGAACGCTTGATTTGTTTTTGTAGGCATTGCACTTTCTATTACACAATTCGCTTTATCATGAGTCGCCATTATGTTGAGTCAGCTGGAGAGAATCCTATCTGCCTAAGGTAAATGCACAAAAACAGCATTTGCATTTTTCCCAATCCACAATCTTAGGTGGGAACGAAAACAAGTTGAGTGGTTCTCGTATCAGTCCTAGATTAGAGACTTTCGCAACTTTCTACGATGGTGGTACGGCAGTGTGAGAATCGCGCTCCCTAGCTCCTGGATGATGGGCTTCACTATAGAGGTGCTTGCCTACACCGTCCCTCGTAAAAAAGCCATACACACATATGAATCATGCACGATATATAAGAATATATAAGAACCATATAAGAATTATATTAGAACAATATAAGGTATATAAGAAGATATAAGAACCATATAAGAAACTTTCTTAAACTTCTCACAAGTTTCTTTTTTGGTTTGTCATACGAATGAAATTTTTCGACAGGGTGCCTCACGTGACAAAAATAAAGTAAGGCTCGAATACTGCTCGTATATAGCAAAACTAGAATTATTATCTGAGATGTCATACGTGGTTCGACTTCGCTCGTCTGCGTAGTAAGCGGCTTCGTGTCTCCTGTTTCGGGACGCCGCGTTTCTGCTTCACGCGCAGCGCGGCTCGAGTGCTGCTGACGCTGGTGGTGGGGGCGATACGCTCGTGCGACAGGAATGTCTCTCTGAATACGCCGAGCCTCCGAGGCCAGTTCGTTCAAGTCGCAAAACCGACTGCCTCGGAGATACGCCGCAAAAGTCGGGTGCGATTGTCCAATAACTCTCTCTACCCACTCTGCATTGGGCGCTGAGGGTTCCGCCAGCTCAAAGAGCTTTTGCATCGCCCTCACGAAATCCAACAGTGAAGATCGTCTGGGTGTTGGGTCCGTTGTTGGAGCTCTCGCTTCATCCTGCGTTTGTAGTTCGTAGGGAGGAATTCCTGGCGAACTGTCTTGCAGAACTGCTCGATCGACAACAGCTGGCTTCCGATTAGAGGGAGCCATCGGGCCGCTTGGTCTACCAACCAGATTAGCAAGATGCGTTCCAGTATCTATAGTTACTCGACATTCCCATGGCCTGTTGGTACTTTTTCAAGTCATTTAAAAGTCTGTCGCACTCACTCGGTCACCGTACACTGTGCATGTCGGTGGTTAGGGCCTAACTACTGTTTGCAGTGCGCCAGTTAGGCTCTCAATCAGCCGAGCTGCGTTTTCTAGCAGGGGGCGATATGCGCCGAGCGTATTTTCTCTGTGGTGAGAATCGCTCTCCGTATGTGCGGCTGGGGGCTGTTCCCTTTTCGTGGACCACCGAGTGGTGTGCCGCGCCTATAGCAGCTGTGCTGTGCTGCAGCTCGTAGATTGCGTCAGTTTACCTCCGTGCGAAGAAGCTGACGGCCAGCCTGAGGTTAAGAGATCGACGCTGTAAGAGGCTGCATTTGCCTGCTTTTGCGTCACTGCCTTTTCTCCCGTCGGATCTGCGTTAATTTCGAAAGTCACGGTTAGGCTTGACTCAGCGATGAAGGATGGCGCGCTCCGAGGAGGTGTGCCTCCGTTGCATTCCGGGCCTTTTGAGTCAAACCCGTTGGGGAAGATCGGCTCAAATGACACTTACTCATTGTGCCCGTACGTGGCTAACGTTGCCACAAAGTTGTTGAGTAGCGTCCGGTTTTGGTCTCTCCCTCCGTCCACGAAGTGCTTGGCCGAAAATTTACCTGGTTTTCTGTCATATCGAAGTTGCTGCTTTTGTTTGGAGCCGCCGGAGAGGCCGCACGTTGGGCGCCAGATGTGGCATTTCCTTTTGGAAGGTGTGACGTAGAAACACAGGTTCTTTGGGTCCGGATAATGGCGTATTTATTTGACGATAATGCCACAGGTATGCCCGGGGGCCAGCATCTCGAATATAACGGCGCTGTCTCTTTTGACAATCGCTAGTCGGAGTCCGCGCTGCCGCTAGTGACAGTATCACGGAGGGGGCAGGGTCAGTACAAGAAAGGAAGGCCCCTTCGAGCAGAGCATGTTGTCGAGGACAGCACTGTTGGTGTGGCGGTAACAATGCCTCCGTGGCCTTGATCAGGGAGTGTTGTCACGTGACTCGCTCCGACGTTTTTATCGGGTCGCGGGGGCTGCAGCCTCCACAGTTCGCCAAGTTGTTGTGAAACGGAGTATAGTGGGATCACAAGCCGAGTACCGAACGACAAAGGAACTTAAGACCACCTTGAAACTTCTTTTTGCCTTAATATTGTTAAATACATTCATAATTAGCGGGTAGTACCATTATATTGCGACATTTTATTCTTTCGATGCTGAGTGACACCCCATATCCCATAATCACGTTTGATCCGGGCCGCCAAGTTTGCCACCCGTTTTCATTCAAATGGGTCGACGAGTTTGCCATCCGTTTGCATTTTAATTGTTGTTTTTCAGTAGGTTGCGGGTTTTAACAGTCGTGTCAAATATGGCACCTGGACCCACACTTTCTCCAGATAGACTGCTGTGACTTGCCGCAATTAGTTTTCAGAATTCACAGCAGATGCGTCTCAAGTAAAGTAAAAGCAGTTCTTGATCTCTTTCGCAACTCGCATCGCGCCTGCAGTACGGGAACGCAGAAAAACACATTATATATGATGGCTGCCAGCCATGTCAGCCGCGTCATGCCCCGGTATGATGTGATTTACACAATTCCCGTAGAAAAAATGTACTCGCACATGTGTTTGTAAATAGGCAGGAAAACAGACACAAAGTATTGTTGTCAGATCTCCTAGAAGTTTATTACATATAGCCTATTCCGTAGACAAGTACAAACGTGCAAGCGATCTGTCAAATCTGAAGAGGAACTAGTAAACTTTTATACAACTTTGAAGATTGCAAAGCAGACAAGAACCGTGGTAAATACAGGCTGTAGTGTCTATTCTCCCGGCAGCTCGGAAAATAATTTCCCAGAAATCCTACCGGCATAAGCCTCTCATTGGGGGTGGCAATCACGTCATCGACCGATTCTCTAGGCATAGTTATAAGATGCAGGAGTAGCCGAGATATGCGGGCCGTTGATAGCTCCCTGCTGTCCTGGTGAAGCACGAATGATAGTCTGATGCGGCGCTCATGGAACCTTTGGTCTTCAATCTAGCAACTTCGCTTGCAAAGGTGCCGCAACTGCGGACCATTTTGTAACTGCTGATATTCCGTGAAGGTGGAGTATTTTGTAACTGCTAATATTATATTACGAGAAACTTCTCTAGTGTTTAGCACATATTTTTTATATCTTGCGACTCTCAGCATGAGGCATCTTGCGAATAAGTCCTATTGGTGGGTTACTTTGCAAAGGCTGGTAGACAACCACGTGGATTTGCCCTCGCGTTTTGCTCACTTTTATATACAAGTGGTTATATTGAAAAGTTTCCAGAATCGGCACTAGGTTTTTTTTTCTCTCGGTTTGTTTTTATTTCACTGTGTTGGCAACCCTCTTGCATAAACTCACCACAAATGTCACATTGATTTCTCAAAAAGCTTGGCTTTGACAAGCGTTCTAGTCGAGCAACCATGGACATTTTCAGTTATGAATAAAAACGAAACACGAGCGGTCTTATCTTTTTTTTTTTTTTTTTTTTTATTTGGAGGGAAAACGAGTGACGGAAAGTAAATCCAGTTTAAGTGCTGTTCTCGGGGACTCATCACTTCCGTTTTACACTACGAGTTTTTCGGTTTCTGAATT